CTGACGACATGGTCGACACGTGCCTCACGGTCTCTCTGCTTAGCGCTCAGACAGACCAGAAGATCAGCGTCATCAATGCCGCATTGGAGGAGCTGAAGACCTCAGTTGCTTCGATATCTCGTCCACCATCCACGGCATCTGGCGGTGCCAGCACTTGGGGGACCGCAACCACACCCCGTGGAGAGACCGCCGCGCCTGCTGACAGGCGCAAGCTCTGGGTGCGAGGGTTTCCTGTCAAATTGATGGCCTCCGCTTTCGACAAGCACTTCGAATTCCTGAAGACCCTTCTCTCGCCCACCTACCGCGACAGGTGCACCGCTATCACCAAGAGCTGCAAGTACGCCTACGTCATCATTTTTGAGAACGCCGACGACGCCAAAAATGCATTGTTGCAGCTGCGTGCCATGACACTAGAATGGGGAGATGGCAGTGGCTTTCGGCATCGTCTTCGAGTTGGCACTGACGAACCCATCGATGTCCGTAAGAAGGGCTGGGTGCTGGGCCAGGTCTGGCAACATATCAAGCAGGTCATGGTTGATGCTGGCACTTGGCGACCTGACTCGCAGCTACGCTGCAACAAGTACATGGGCCTCTGCTTCCTGGTCAACGGCGACCTCGTGGACGAGCTCGTCGTGCTGCAGAACGTCCTCGAGACCGACAACCCGAACGTCGAGCCCAACCGGGGCAACCTGAAGCGCTACGGCTTCACCGACGAGCAAGTCGACAAGCTGCCCGAGCTGGTCACTGCTGCGCTTCGCCGCGAATAGGGGCGGAGTGAGCCAGTACCTGTGAGCGACAGCGATGATGAATTCGATCCTGAACGATTGCGAGCCCTTCTGCGAGAACGGGGGGAGGCCACCTCGATTCTGCCCGACTCTCCTCTTCCCGAGAATGCGCCAGCTATTCTTGATCCTTACCTTCCTGTTCCACTTTCTCCTGGGGGAGGTGATGCTGCTCCTGCTGAGCAGCGGCATCCATTTGTCATCTCTCGCACTGTGGGTCTTGCTTCATGGAATACCCGTGCATTTTTTGGCAGTGTGTATGGCGATCCACAGAGACAGCATCGGAAACAGCAGATTTTCAGAAGTCTTGTACACCGCTTTCAAGTAGTATTTTTGCAGGAAGCCCACGGGACCCAAGAAGATCTTTCCTCGCTGGATCGTGACGTGCCAGCTCACACGCACTTTGGCTCGTTTTGCTCTTCTGCGGCGGCGGGAGGCGTTACCATGTCTATTGATCCTTCCCTACTCCAGCTCTTTCAGGACATCCACGTTGAAAACATTATCGACGGACGACGCATTGCAGTTACGTTAACAGGCGAGAAAGGCACGTTGCAATTGATTAACTTTCACCTCGACCCCACCCTCTCCGACGTTGAGAAGGATCGTGTGATCCGCACTGTTGCTGCTCACGCTCTGCATGCTGATCAGGCCACTGTCATCCTGGGAGGCGATTTTAACTTCTTGGAGGAGGGGGAGATGAGGACGTTCACAGACGGAAGGGAACCCACCCCTGAAAGGACTGCTGTTCTGCATATGTTTTCTCGGGTTTTCGGACACCTCGCTGAAGTTGCCCAACAAGAGCCCACTCATCGGTCTGGGAGGAGGGAGGACGGTGCGCTTAGCCTTGGACGCTTGGACAGGATCTACATATCTTCTGCCACCACCGACATTCTAGATGCGACTCCACGGAGCGGAGTCATAGGTCTTGCTCATGATGTCGCCCAGCCGAGCGACCATATTCCTGTCTGGCTTCAGTTTTCGCCTGGCGGCAGAACAACCCCGACGATCCCCTCCTGGATTGCCAAACATCCTGATTTTGGTACTGAAGTTGAGGCTGCCATTGGTTCGGTTGAAATGCCCAGGGACCCGTTCGAATACCTCCTGTCCGTCAAAGACGCGATGTATGTTGCCAAGGATGCTTTGATGACTCGCATGTTCTTCCGAGGCCCCCACAACGACGCGCAGAAGTTATCGGTCTACCTTAAGTTTCTTCGGGCTGTTCGGGATGGCAAGTCTTGGGACATTCGGAGGTGTATCCAGGCTATTCCTCATCTTAGTCTACATGTTCATGCTGATGAATGTTGTTTTAGAGATTCGGTGTCATTTTATCGTGAAATGGCCGAGCTTCAGCACTCTCTTCTCCAGCGAGAAATTCGCGAACACGTCGAAGGCGGCGGAGCCCCCGACGACGATCGAGGCCTCAGGTTGCACCAGCTTCTGCGACAGTGGTCTCCCAAAAGGCGCCGTATTGTTCTGGCTTCCGTCCCCGACCCCACCGGGTGCCCTTCGCCTGACCTGGAGGTCAGTGCTCAGAATCTTGCGTCGCACTGGGGGCGGGTCCATGCCGCGAAGCCTCAGGACAGGGGATACCACTTCCAGAAGACACTGTTGAGCAGTGAGATTCAGCAGGTTGCCCCAGGTATCGAGTGGACGCTCGACCTGCATAGCTTCATAGGTAAGCTCGTCGGCCGCAAGGACAGCGCGACTGGCCCCGACGGCATCCCATACAGTGCATGGCGGTTCGCTGGCGAAGCCGCTCACAATGCCTTGTCTCAAGTTTATCTCGCTATTTTGGACAATCCTTCATATGGGCCCCCACATAAAGGCTTCAACGAGTCCCTCACGGTGTACCTCCCAAAGGCCATCCACCCGCACGAAGCTGGAACCTCTGAGATCTCTCGGGAAGCGTCTGTGGTTCGCCCTATTGCCCTCAGCAATACTGATAACAAAATAGTATCCTTGGCCATATGCGAACCATTTAGCCAGCAATGCCAGTACAGCGTCCTAGGCTCCCAGACGGGCTTCGTGCGCAAGAGGTCTATGCTCGACAACTTGCTCTGCCTTGAGGCAGACATTCTTGAATGTGCCTGCTATCGTGGCATGCCGCACGCAGGACTACTCCTCTTGGATTTCCGCGCCGCGTTCCCGTCGCTGCGCCACGACTGGATCATAGATGTGTTAATCATGATGAATATTCCCATGTATATCGTGAATGCCATTCGGTTCCTATACACAGGCATCTACACACACATATGCCGAGCAGGCAAAAAGTTTCCAGGCTACTCGATCACCCAAGGCATTAAACAAGGATGTCCACTGTCGGGTGCATTATTTGCATTATGCATCGACCCGCTGCTGCGCCGATTATCTAACTTGCTAGCTCCCGTTTGTGCTTCACCCCGTGCCTTTGCAGATGACATCCAGATCTCGGCATCCAACCTGTTGCTAGCTGTTCCTATTGTGCTGAAGAATGTTATTAGGTCCAGCCGATGTACTGGCCTGCTCTTGAACCTTGCCAAGTGTATGATCGTGCACACGCAAGAGATGCCAGATGACCAGCATTTCGCCTTATTCGAAACTGTTCGCACTAACGTTCGCTCGCTCATGCACGGCACCAGTGGCAAAGTCTTGGGTGTTTTCCTGGGCCCTGGTGGTTACAAGAAATCCTGGTCCGCTCCGCTTCAGAAATATATTTGTCGGGTCCGTCATGTTCGGTCGCTTCGTCTTGGGCTTACTCAGAGTATTTATGCATACAATTCCCTGGCCTTCTCGGTCCTCACCTTCGTGATGCAGCTATGTTACATATCGCAGGATGCGTTTCGCATGGAAACAAAAGGATTGCAGACTCTCACCGCGTGCCCGTTCTACAGCATTCCCACTGATCTCCTCCGCAATCTCTCGTCGGCGCTGCACTGGCCCATTGCCCCGCGCAACCTCGTGCTGGAGAATCAGGCTGCCATGTATCGGGTCGCTGTTCGATCCAAGGTTTTTGACAGCATTCGGAGGCGATTTCACGAGCTTGAGGAAGATGACTGGGATGTTCTAATGGTCAAGCGGTTCCCGACATGGCGTGCCGAGTCCATTGTTTTCCATCTGATTCACAACTACGAGCGTCTAACAGCCCTGCCGTGGAACCACTTCGATGAGGACACTCACGAGTTGCAGAAACAGATTTTGAAGAAGTTGATTTCTGAGGCCCCCAGTTGCTCCGCGGTTTTTCTCCTGGGCAATCGAATTCGTTTCGCTTTTCCTCTGGTTAATGCCTCTAGTATCGACCTTGCTGTGCTCAGGCTCAGAATTGCCTGCACGCGCGTCGGCCCTTTTGTGGCTGCTGCCATTCTCAAAACCATCTGCAACGCGTGGGCGACCTCTGCCAGGTATAGGCAAGGCCGTCTTACCTGTCGCTTCGGCTGCCGAGCCGCTGGCGGCGACCACGTCCAGCATTATTTCGATTGCCCTCATGTTCTGAGCCTGCTTCCCTCTGTCCTGCCCTCCCTGCCAGCCGAATATTTGAATCAGAGCCTCGATGCGCGTATGCTGTGCACCATGCCATGCCATTCTAGTCAGCAGTTGTTTTCTTTGTTTCTCGTCCACGACCTGCTCTTTTCCACCTTTAACTCCTTGAGGAGCTCGCACAGGTACGGGCCCGAATGCCTGCTGCCTCTCCTGCGCGCCCGCGCCCGGCACATCGCCAAGAAGGGGCGCGTCGTGCGGAGCGTCCTCACCAGGAGGCCCGCTGCAGAAGGCAGCTGAACGGCCCGTCTCTCTGACTCGCCCAGGGGAGTGCGATCATCATCATCATCATCATCATCATCAGCATCATCATCATCATCATCATCATCATCCTCATCCTCATCATCATCATCATCATCATCATCATCATCATCGTAATCATCATAATCATCACCATCACCATTATACTCACATCATACTCTCACCATCTAATAGCGGATCGACTGCAGAATTGATTCATCCACGACGAATGCGTAAAATCTTTGTGCGTAAATCTACTGCGAATATCTGACGTGAATGTTCGCAAATTGTTGGGGAACACCTGTCGTGAAGGTCTGTAAATCTACTGCGATTTCTGAGTGTGCTCCGTTGATTCGGCGAGCAAATCAATCTCGGGGTAAATCAATTCTGTAGTCCATCCCCTATACTCGAAGACAAGCATGGCCGTCCGAAGCCGGGGCCTCGCTCTCTCACTCCCCGCCCCGCCCTCGCCGCTGTCCGCTTGCCGGGGCCTCCCGCCATGGCCGCGGACGACGAGGAGCCGGTCGGACCCGTCAAGACCAAGATCATCCGGGAGGCCCGGGCGCCGCGCAGACACCGAGCTTCGGACGTCCGCTGGCGGCTTCTCCGCTGGCGCCCGAGCGGATCTGCGATCCGGGCCCCCGGGGGGCTCCGTGACCCTTGGGGGGGCGCCCGGCCCTCGTTGGCGCTCTCGGTGTGGGCCTCGCTCCTCCTGCCCCTCCTCCTCCTCCTCCTCCTCCTCCTCCTCCTTCTCATCTCATCCTCTCCTCCCTCCTCCTCTCCTCCTCCTCATCATCATCATCATCATCTCCTCCTCATCGCTCCTCCTCCTCCTCTCCTCTTCTCCTTCTCCTTCTCCTCTCATTTCCTCCTCATCGCTTCTCTCCTCCTCCTCCTCTCCTCCTCCTCCTCCTCCTCCTTCTACTCGTCCTCCTCCTCCTCCGCTTCCCCCTCCTGCTCCTCCGCCCTCCTCCTCATCTGCCTCCTCCGCCTCCTCCTCCTCCTCCTCCTCCTCCTCCTCCCCCTCCTCCTTCTGCTTGACAGGCCCGCTCCCCGCACCGCTCCCAGTCGCGCGACGCGCGCGGAGGGGCGGCGTGCAGGAAGAGGGGCCTGGCGCCGGCGGCGAGGCCGCCCCGCCACGGACGTCCGGGGGCTCCGTGCTTGCGCGCGTGCTCTCCGGAGCCTCCTGCCGTCGAGACGGCCAGGCTCGTGGTCGAAAGATATTCAGTGGCAGCGATCGGGTTAAGTCGGGCATGTCCATCCACAGGAGGACTCTTCAAGAGTAGTTTACACAAAAAGTCTGGTGACCATAATCAGTGCTCTTTTGGTTATTTGGGTATTCTGTTGACTATGTTCGACCTTTCTGTCAGAACCCGCTTGTAGCAGAACAAGCCCCACCTAACGAGACGGGGGGAGACAGTCGGACCGAGGTATGAGATCGAGGTCGGCTCGGGCAAAGTAATTCCCCCAGTCGTCTCCGTGTTTGTGTGATGTTCTTGCGCATCCTAGTTAGGGTACCCTTGGATGTTCTGTTCATTGTGGCCGACGGAGGGCCTCCTGTTCTTGAGTGAGGTCTTTTCTGTCCCAGGCCCGACTGTTGGCAATCAGGGGGGACGCATCGACCCCCGATGGACCATCGGCCGCGGATCGGGATCCGAGAGCCCCACCCTGCCCGGGAACGTGCGGATGCATCATCGGGGTCTGTCGCCGATCTATCGGCTGTGCATCGCCGATTCCAGGTCGATGTTTCCCCCGCCCCCCCTTGTGCCAGTACCCCCCTATCGTTGCCCCCCCCCCCCCCCTCGGATTTACATTTCGGAATTCAAGACGCTGAAACAAGGACCGCTTTGGGCTCGGAAGGGACTTGCTGTTCCTTGGGTCTGTCCGTAGATGTTGGCTCCAGCCCTCCTCGTGCACCCGGGCTCTTCTGGTGCCAAGAACAGGCTTCGTTCTTTATTGATCGTCCCTTCTTTCAGCAGCCCGACTGTACGGTTGAGAACTCTTGGATAGCGTGTCGCTCCGCCGGCTCTGGCCCACCGCGCTCTGCAGCGACACGCTGTCGATTTCGCGGTCTCAAGGCGTCGACGTGCTGAGCTTTTCCGAGCCTCCCGCCCCGCAGAGCGGAGCGACACGCTACACAACCGCACGGCGAAGCGTGTCGCCGGGGCCGCGGAGGCCACACGCGATCCAGAAGTCCCCGACCGCACAGAGAGAGAACGCTGAAGTGAGGACCACGTCGGGCCGCTGAGGCGGGGCTCTGGTTTGCCTCCTGATGCCATGCCTCTCACATCCAGGTCGGGGAACCGACTCGTGTCAGAGGCCCGCCGTGGCCAGGGACGCCCCTTCGCTCCGTAGTCAGCGTTCCGTGTGGTCGCACGACTGCCGTATCCGTACCCGCGGCCTCGCGGGCTAGACCTCTGGACCACGACGCCGCCGATACGGGGCGCTGTTTCGAGGAGTCCCCGCGCGGGACATATCCGTGCGACCGCGTATCCGCGGGATCGCACCCCTCAATCCAATCCGTGAGAGCACGGGTAGGGGTGTCTCCCGCCACTCATGACAGGCAGCAGAGGCTAGAGCACCTGGCCTTCGGCTTTGTGGTCAGCTTCAGGGAGGCCGTCAAGACGACGACGACGGCGACGAAGGGTGCGACGATGACACCCCCGACCTCTCCTGGACGCGCGTTCTGAACAGAATCTCGAGGCGAGTCCAGCCGTGGCCACGAGGGCAGCCGTGGAGGCCCACACGCCACGCCACATAGGCAAAAGGGGATAGTTGAACCTCGAGCCCTCGTGCGACAACGACGGTGGCATCGCCCGCGACGACCATGACCACGATCCCAATCACGACCACAACCATGACCTTGACCACGACCACAGCGACAAACCCTGGGAAGCAATCATCCCCCCCCCATCAGAGGAAAGTAAAACTCTTCGGGCACGGGGTCCAGGGCGGAACGGACATTCCCCGAAGAAGCCAGCGACAGATTCCCTCAACGAGCGCTCAGACCGAGCGACCCTAGCCTAGATGGGGGGAGGGCGGCTTGCGTCAGTTTTGAATGCAGAGGGCGTTTTCTTATGATTGCCGGAGCGGTCATCGGCCATGTCTCTGTATGCACACCTGGTCGGATTCAGGGACATGTCTTTTAGGATTGCTTTGCGATTCCTTTGAGGGTCTTCGGTGTTTTGTGTTGGATACACTTCAGATTCCTTCGGAATTAATGTAGAATTCTTTTGAGGTTTATTTGAGGTTCCTGTGCGTGCTGGACCGCCACGGCAATCGTTGGGTCCAGTGAATCATCTTATGTTCAATGCATGTGCTAACATATCGCGGGGATGGTCGCGGATCGCGTCTGCGATATACTTCCGTCGACTCTCCTTTAGGGCCCCTTGAGAAATCACACTTCTGCATTCAATGAGAGCTTTCTGTGTCCTTGAGAGCCCATGTCTTTCCTGTTCGCGGGTTCCTGCTCATGCTCGTTGTTCCCCACATCCTGAGTGGGGTTCTTGTTTTCCCAGAACATCCTCTCCTTCTCCCTCCCGCCTCCCGCATCCCACCCACCCCTCCAGGGAGGCCCCGCCTGAGCGAGGATGGTATCGGAAACCCATACTATTTACATGGTTTCGTGCCCCTCCCTCCCCTCCAGGGAGGCCCCGCCTAAACGAGGGTATCGGAAACCCGTACTATTTGCATGGTTTCGTGCCCCTGCCACCCGTCCAGGGAGGCCCCGCCTGAGCTAGGAGGGTGTCGGAAACTAATACTATTTACATGGTTTCGTGTTCTTCCCACCCCTCCAGGGAGGCCCCGCCTGAGCGAGGAGGGTATCGGGGGCCCATACTATTTACATGGTTTCGTGCCCCTCACACCCCTCCAGGGAGGCCCCGTCTGAGCAAGGAGGGTATCGGACACCCATACTATTTACATGGTTTCGTGCCCCTCACACCCCTCCAGGGAGGCCCCGTCTGAGCGAGGAGGGTATCGGAAACCCATACTTTGTACATGGTGTCGTGCTCCTCCCACCCCTCCAGAGAGACCCCGCCTGAGCGAGGAGGGTATCGGAAACCCATACTATTTACATGGTTTCGTGCCCCTCCCACCTCTCCAGGGAGGCCCCGCCTGAGCGAGGAGGGTATCAGAAACCAATACTATTTACATGGTTTCGTGCCCCTGCCACCCCTCCAGGGAGGCCCCGCCTGAGCGAGGAGGGCTTCGGAAACCCATACTATCTACATGGGTTCGTGCCCCTCCCACCTCTCCAGGGAAGCCCCGCCTGAGTGAGGAGGGTATCGGAAACCCATACTATCTACATGGGTTCGTGATCCTCTCACCCCTCCAGAGAGGCCCCGCCTGAGCGAGGAGGGTAACGGAAAGCCATACTATTTACATGGTTTCGTGCCCCTCCCACCCCTGCTGCGGTTCCTGCTGCTGCACTTCACCATCATCCATCTTATCCTCTTCCTCTTCCTCCTCCTCCTCCCCCTCCTCCAGGAGGGTATCGGAAAACAATGAATTTTACACGGTTTCGTGTCCCCCCTCCACTCCTCCAGAGGGGCCGCGCTTGAACGAGGAGGGTCGCGGAACGCATTACTCTTTACCAGGTTTCGTAGCCCTCCCCCTTCCAGCGGGGCCCCGCCAGAGCGAGGAGGGTGTCAAGAAACCGTACTATTTACAAGGCTTCGTTTCTTGAGCACCTGTCCTCCTTCCTCATTTCTTTCGTCTGCCCTTTCGCGCGTACTTACTCGTTAGATGAGCTTCTCCCTCGTGTTGGTGTTGTCGTATCCTATGTGTCCCACGAAACCGTTAATATCTTTATGTGGGGAATTCCGTTAGCATACTTATCTTTGAGCTGGTGAACGTGTTTTTCCCCACATCCTGAGTGGGGTTCTTGTTTTCCCAGGACATCCTCTCCTTCTTCCTCCCGCCTCCCGCCTCCCATATCAATACCATGGCTACCTTCCAGCCTCCCATATCATACCATGCCTACCATTCCATACCATGCCTACCATCACATACCATACCATACCATACTATACATACCACACACTACCAAACAATGCCATACCATACCATACCATACCTACCATGCCATACCACACCATGCCATACCATACATACCACACAATACCGAACAATACCATACCATGCCAACCATACTATATAGCATACGTACCATACCATACCATACCACACCATACGATACCATACCTACCATACAATACCATACCATACCTACCATACAATAGAATACCTACCATACGATACACTACCATACCACACATACCATATCATAACATACCAAACTACCCATAAACTACCATACCATATACACCTCACCATACCATACCCGCAAGAGCGGGCAGGGTATCGGAGTACCACACTATTCACATGGTTTCGTGCCCCTCCCGCCCCTCCAGGGAGGCCCCGCCTGAGCGAGGAGGGTTTCGGAAACCCGTACTATTTACATTGTTTCGTGCCCCTCCCTCCCCTCCAGGGAGGCCCCGCCTGAGCGAGGAGGGTATTGGAAGCCCATACTATTTACATGGTTTCGTGCTCCTCCCACCCCTCCAGAAAGGCCCCGCCTGAGCGAGGAGGGTATCGGAAGCCCATACTATCTACATGGTGTCGTGCCCCTCCCACCCCTCCAGGGAGGCCCCGTGTGAGCAAGGAGGGTATCGGAAACCATTGCTATTTACATGGTTTCGTGCCCCTCCCACCCCTCCAGGGAGGCCCCGCCTGAGCGAGGAGGGTATCGGAAACCAAAGCTATTCACACGGTTTCGTGCCCCTCCCATCCCTCCAGAGAGGCCCCGCCTGAGCGAGGAGGGTATTGGAAGCCCATACTATTTACATGGTTTCGTGCCCTTCCCACCTCTCCAGGGAGGCTTCGCCTGAGCGAGGAGGGGATCGGAAACCCATACTATTTACATGGGTTCGTGCCCCTCCCACCCCTCCAGGGAGGCCCCGCCTGAGCGAGGAGGGTATCGGACACCAATGCTATTTACATGGTTTCGTGCCCCTCCCACCCCTCCAGGGAGGCCCCGTCTGAGCGAGGAGGGTATCGGAAACCCATACTATGTACATGGTGTCGTGCCCCTCCCTCTCCTCCAGGGAGGCCCCGCCTGAGCGAGGAGGATATCGGAAACCCGTACTATTTACATGGTTTCGTGCCCCTTCCTTTCCTTCAGGGAGGCCCCGCCTGAGCGAGGAGGGTATCGGACACCAGTGCTATTTACATGGTTTCGTGCACCTCCCACCCCTCCAGGGAGGCCTCCCTGAGCGAGGAGGGTATCGGACATCCGTA